GGTTTAAAAGTATCAAGATACCATTATCTTATACATGTATTTTCAATGGATAAATAATCATTAATTATAAATTGGTTATCGAAAGTTTCTTCGATTTGTAAGACTTGGAGGAATTCAGATTCATCAGGCTCTTGTTGAGCCTGTTTATATTGAGGAATAATAATATTATCTGATGTTCGTATCAATCCATCAATTTGTGGTCTATTAGGAGTACTAAGTTTGGATGGAAGGGTCATTAGATGTGGACTATGATTATATGTGGTAACCGATTGTCTTGGTGGTTCCAAATTTGGAACACATTTGGACAGAGATATATTGGCTACTGTGTCTGCTATAGAAGTAGTAGCTCTATTATTTGTAAATTGGATTTCAATATTTCCATCTGTATGTTCTATTATTTTATCTGGAATATTTTGTATAGATGTTTGGGATGGTTGGTTTTCATTATGAATAGACTATGATTCTGGTAAGATAATATCTGACCAGGATATTGTCTTTGGTATGATGGTATTGGATTTTTCTATATTGGTTTGGAAAAAGATAGTTTGTCCTCGTGTATCTACTTGAAGTACATTGGGACATAGTATCGTCATAACTTTATAATAAATGCGATAGACAATGGCTATATTTTGGGAACCTACCATCATGTCAAATCCCTGGGTTTTTAGATTTAAAGATAAAACATTTAAAATATTCGGATCTGTAAGTGATACAGAATAATTAGGAAAATAATTAAAATAAATAGGTCCACTACATAAACTGGATTCAACCATTCTAAGTAATGAGTCGGAAAATCTATTATGCCTGGTGTCACGTAGGCATACTAAGATAGAATTATTAAGTCTTAAACGAGTTAAGGGTTTAACTGCAATTTGAATTAAACCTATATACAAATATTTATAATTTTTTGTTTTATGGACTTGTAATATCTTGTTAGATAATAATTGGAAATCCTCTTGGTTACTTGTAACAGATAGGGTTTGTTCTACTGTTTTGATGGCATATCCTATCTTCAGATCAAAAGTACCCTTTTTGTACACATCAGATATTGGAACTTTTGGTATGTTCCAATTTTGAATTTAGGCTTCTATATCGTTTATAATAATTTCTTCTTTATTTTTAATTCTTAGAGTACTACTAGTTGAGCTAGTTGCTTTATCTGATAGATTCTTTATAAATTTTTCCATTATTAGGTTGCGGATGAGTGTTATTTGGACTGTACTCTGTGACTACCTCTTATGTCTCTTTGACCTCAGCGGCTCTCCTGGCCTTAACGGTCTTTAGACTGGGTGTCTGAGCGTCTCTAACCTTAATGCTCGGACCAACTTTATCTAATGGATTAATTTATTAAGTTTCGTTTGATACAGTAACTAGTGTCAACTATTAATGCTTTAAACAGGGTGTGGCTCTGATACCAATTTCGACGCAAGATCTACCCTAACTAAACTACCGTAAATATGTAAAGATGACAGAGTTATAAGCTATTAATTGTTGCAGAAGTGTAACATAATAAAGAAAAGCAATTATGATAACAAGAGCAGAAAGCCAAGATATATCGAATACAATCCAAGAAGTATGCGTATAGTCACGAATTTTAAATGTAGAAACAAGTTTGAACTGCATAATACCTTTATTACAAAGATGAAAGTAGAATAACAGTACTACTTACTGATTGCATATATTCAATGACTATTACTTAGACAGGAATTGAAACAAGGATTCATGACACTCTTATTAAATTCGAATTTCTTGATAAACCAAAAATCAAAGAAATCAATACGGTTAAAAATCATATCAAACAAAAAGAAGACTTTTTAGGATCATTACAACTTGAAATCAAACATAAGATTGTTATTGAAAAACTCCAAGCTGAAGATATGATACAAAAAATACAACAACTCAAAAGTCTTATTGAACAAGAAATATGACATGAATTGCCAACTGCTTTATGGAATAGAAAACAACACATTGTGGGATTACCATATGAACCTGATTTTAATGAAACAAAAATCCCAACAAAAGCTAGACCTATCCAAATGAATACTGAACTACTCCAAACATGTCATAATGAAATTAAAGAACTACTTCAAAAAAAGCTTATTCGTCCAAACTTATCTCCATGGAGATGCTCTGCTTTTTATGTCAATAAAAATGCCGAACAATAACATGGAGTTCCACGATTAGTCATAAATTATAAACCTCTCAATAAAGTCTTACAATGGATTGGATATCCTATTCCCAATAAAAAAGATTTATTAGATCGATTAGTACATGTTGTTATCTTCTCAAAATTTGATTTAAAATTAGGATTTTAGCAAATACAGATAAAAGAAGAAGATAAATATAAAACAGCTTTTAATGTTCCGTTCGGACAATATGAATGGAATGTCATGTCTTTCGGCCTAAAAAATGCTCCATCTGAATTCCAGAAAATCATGAATGATGTATTTAATCCTTACTACAAATTTATGATTGTTTACATTGATGATGTTTTAGTCTTTTCTGATTCCTTAGATCAACATTTCAAACATCTTTATACTTTTATCAATAATATCAAACATGCTGGGTTAATAGTTTCTGCAAAGAAACTCAATCTATTCCAGACCAAAATCCGATTTCTCGGACATAACATTAATCAAGGGACAATTATCCCAATTGATAGATCAATTTTATTTGCTGATAAATTCCCCGATAAAATTCTAGATAAAACCGAATTGCAAAGATTTATAGGATGTCTTAATTATATTAGTAATTTCTATCAAAATCTTGCCATAGATGCCAAACCTTTATATGATAGGTTAAAAAAGAATCCTCCACCATGGACGGAGATCCATACTTTGGCTGTTCAACGTCTTAAACTAAAAGCCAAAGAATTACCTTGCTTAACACTATCTAATCGTACTGCATTTAAAATCATTGAATGTGATGCCTCCGAATTAAGTCTAGGCGGTATACTAAAACAACAATGTGATTCAACCGAACAATTAATTCGTTTTACTTCAAAAGCATGGAATCCTACCCAAAAGAATTATTCCATTGTGAAAAAAGAATTACTTGCCATAATACATTGTGTCACTAAATTTCAAAGTGATGTTCTGAATCAACATTTACTCATCAAAACTGACTGTAAAGCTGCTAAGGATATTCTGCAAAAGGATGTTCAAAATCTTGTTTCTAAACAAATCTTTGCCCGCTAGCAAACTATTTTATCTGCTTTTGATTTTTCTATTGAACATCTTCACGGCTCTGGTAATTCCTTACCTGATTTCCTTACCCGTGAATTTTTGCAAGGGGGGCCGTACATTACCACCACTACTTGAGCCAGACAATATTCCTTACGGTTTACAATTGTTTTTGCACAATACCAATATGAATATGAATACATCTCAAAGTAAATCTCATGGTAAACAACGAATGGACTTAGTACCCTGTACTGTACCTGGGTCTCTTATGCTCAGTTCTCCTTCTTTACCACTTACACCCATGTCACCTATGAGATCGACAAATGTGCCAGAATTCTTTATCCAGACTCCTCCGTAAAGTCCAATACATACTCCTAGTCCTGCATTCACTCCAGCTACTTACCCAAATAGACAAACCTCCTATGCTCCAAAATCAGTTTATATTGAGACTGCATTTCTAGCCGATATACCAATATGCGATAAGCATATCAACATCGACCCAAATAAATTAGCTCCCTTGTATCTAGCCAACCACTTGAACCCTTTGAATGGTGCCAAAACCCGTGAATCGTATGAAGCAGTCCTAATGGAAACTGGTTTAGTTTCCATTGTGCATTTTTACCAAGGTAATACTAAATTATATGCATATTCTAAATTACAAATTAAAAAGTGATTATCATATGAAGATTGTGGATGTAACCCCACGCAAGGCAAAAAATTATCCAATCCTGAGTTTCAATATAAATACTATAAGTATGCTGAGTACATTGAGGCCTGGCACAAGGTCTTTGCATATCAAAATCCCAATAATACTCATTCCTGGTATATCCAGTTCAAATTCCCTATTCTAGAACGGTTCCCCAGTTGGTTTCGACATTGGTTCCTGCTATGGGGATCACATACTCAGATTTTACCAGACACATTTCAAGCCTTCCAAGACAAATTTGCTATACATAATACTTGTACTGCCTAGGATGATTATCATTTGTATTTTATGACCATTTACCAAATCCCATGGATTCTTAAATGGGATTATACCCTTTCTGAAAATAATACAAATAATTTTGAATACATCCCTCGACTTGGTAAAACCATTAAAATAAAATGGTAGGATATCTACAGTACCGATCCCTCCACATTCACACTCAAACGAATATCCCCTCCATGTGAAGCACTTCATCCTCAAGACAATAATACTGTCAGTCTTCCTACTTTTTCTACATATCTAAAGAAAATGCGTCTCTCACACCCCAATGCCACATTAGAAGAACTCGAATAACACCTTCTTTATATCTTTGCAGCACCAAATATAGGACCAACTACTTCAGAAGAAACTGTACAGTCAGGCAACCCACTTCTCGAAGATTTCAGCCAAAACCCCGATGCATAGCCCGGCCCAATCGAAAAGGTTGATCTGATATGATCGAATAAAGTTGATATGACTACCTCCACAGTAAAGATTCCCCTTTTCTCTACTTTTGCTGATGACAATACACCTTCACAGTGAAGATTCCCCTTTTCCTCTACTTTTGCTGATATGACTAATTTGGAGTCACATCAAGGCTACAGTATAGATTCCCTTTGCATACGTGTCTCGCCACTCGACCTCCACCAACGCACGAAAGATGCTCTATCCCTCTCACCGACGCACGGCCCCATCCTGAGCCATCCACGCGTCCTTCTTCGTGACCCATGCCGTGACAAGACGTCCCATCTCACCCACGCAGTTTCCTTCTTCACCAAGGCATCCCTTCTCTGCCACACAACTTCCTTCTCCGCTAAGGCATCCAGATTCTTCCTCGCCTATAAATACCTCCTCCCTTCTCCAGAAACGGCAGACTTGGCCAAGGATACCACAGCAGCAGCATCAGAAGCTCATATTCCCTCATAGCTCTCATATTTTCTCAATCTCATATTCTTCTCCTTTCTTCTATTTTGTTTTTTCTCTCTTCTTCTGTAGATAGTAGGTTAGTTTATACAGTTGCTATCCAGTCGTCTGTACATCGTCAAAAGTCAGTAACTTCTGTATTTCTTTATGATTTCATAATGTGTAATTGTAATATATCTACCTTACTTTCCTATTATCCCTCTGAATGGAAACAGTTTGCAAGTCTCTGTATATGCAATCAGTAAGTAGTACTGTTATTCTACTTTCATCTTTGTAATAAAGGTATTATGCAGTTCAAACTTGTTTTTACATTTAAAATTCGTGACTATACGCATACTTCTTGGATTGTATTCGATATATCTTGACTTTCTGCTCTTGTTATCGTAATTGCTTTTCTTTATTATGTTACACTTCTGCAACAATTAATAGCTTATAACTCTGTCATCTTTACATATTTACGGTAGTTTAGTTAGGGTAGATCTTACGTCGAAATTATAAATATATATATATATATAAGGAGTAGATTCTGTACGCCCACTAGTTGACCGCTACAGTAAACGTCAATGACCCAAATTGAATCAGGGCCGATCTAGCGGTCATGACCTTTTTTCGTGTTTGAATTTTAATTTTTTTTCTATAAATTCAAATCATTTAAAATTTTAGTTGTATATTCTTCTCATCAAGGCGTACCTAATAAAAATATATAAAAAAAAAATACATAAAATAAAATTGACCAAAATACCCCTGAAGCGTTACAGGGGTATTTTGGTTAATGTTTTTCATGTAAAATATTTTTGTTTTTGTTTTTCGAAAATGCACCTATTTTTTATATATACACGCTTCAAATGATAATTTTTCTTGAGATATGTATCAAATTTAATGATGATCCTTTGGGGTCCTACACACATAAGTGTAGGTAGGGTCTCATAGGATCATTACTCGATTATTATTTATCATAAAAAAAAATTAAATGTTATATTAATTATCTCACCAATAGTTATTGACATAATAATTATCTCACTCTAGGAAGTTTAGCCAGGCCTCTGTTTGCTCAACTGAAGGTGGGGATGATGATGATGATGGGGATGACCATGACGATGATGATCAAAATACTCCTTGAAACTTTCAGAAGTATTTTGGTTATTTTATTTTATTGAAAATAATTTTTTTATATTTTTTGCTAGTGTGAGTTTAATATAGGAATGGACGTCCAAATTCCTTGTAACGTTCTAGAAAGAGATCCCCAAGTCACTGCTCCACCGGTGCGAGAGGGTCTCTCGACACAAGACCCGGGTAATGATGATTCAGATCCTGTTGAACCCTCAAATTCCCAGCCATGGATAGTCCACCACGGGCGGAGTTTACTGTGACCTAATTCAATTGCCTATAGTCTATACAAAGTCTCATGGACACATCTTTCTTCTTCACAAATAGAACAACTTTACAAGGGTATTTTGGTCAATTTTTTTCAAGTAAAATATTTTTATTTTTGTTTTTCAAAAATTCACCTATTTTTTATATACGTTCAAAAATTCACCTATTTTTTATATACACACGCTCCAAATTTCAGATCAATCCGATTTATAGAAAAAAAATTAAAATTCAAACACTACCGGACATTCAGGATCGTCAAATCGGCTCATATTCAATCTGGGCCGTTGGTGTTTACTGTAGCAGTATGATCTTTTTTCATATATATATATATAAGTATTGTTGTTTTGATGATGAAGTTCTCTCTTTCTTTCTCTCACGCACACTCAACATAAACCTCTTTCTTAATTTTTCAGTTCCAAAAGTTTAATCTATTTTGTTCCTTTTGTTTTTTCTTTTTTTTTATTGTTTGGAGGTCTCTCGCTTATACAAAAGCCTCTTTCCTCTCTCAAACATAAACCTCTTTCCTCTTCTACCTCAAACATAAACTTATTTTATCCCTATCGAACGTTTTCTTTAATTTTTTTTGATGGAGGTCTCCATCGAAAAGGGTCATTTTGATGTTGAAAAACCCTCTAATTAATCATCTTGGATATGTAAAAAAAGGAAAAATATTTCGAGTTTTTTAAATAGTACATTATGTAATACATTATTTGGACCGTCTATTTTCAATATTTTCATGTGTTCATAGATCTACCTGATTTGAGCTATTTTTTGAGGGACCCGGTTTCTATGCGGCCAAGTCTACATATGTATAAATGCGAGCCTGTTAATAAATCTATTTTTTAGATGGATTTTAATAGTTAATTTTTAAATACATGTAATCTCTAACATAAAGATCATGAATATGAATAAATAAATAAATTTTAAAAACAATAAATAATAATTCTAGTAAGAAAACATTTGGACCGTTAGTTTCTATTATTTTTAAATGGAACACCTACTTGCATCCATCTTTATGATGGATGCTTTACATTTTTTGGACCGCATATGTAAAAATGCAGTCCACCCCACATGAAACAATTTTCTTTTTTTGAATTTTTATAATTAAAAATGAAAATAGAATTTTGGGCCAACCCAGGAATTTTTTATACCAAAATTCCATCTTATGATAAATTTGAAAGTGCATCTCAATTTTATTGTTTAAGGTTCCAAACTTATACAAACCACACCCTTCTTTTAATATATTGCTCTCTACCTCACACACGTGCAGAATGGCCTTTGATGTAAATTTGTGACCTTGAATGAGACTACGGCAGTGATGTCTACAGACAATTATCATTTTTGGTATGTTTAATGTGAAGTTTATAGAGGGAAGGTACACCATGCTCTATTGGTGCATATGTATATTTTATACACCATGAGGTTTATAGTAAGAGCTCCAAGGATGAAGGGGATATTTGAAGTACTAAGTAGTGCAGCAACTATGAAGCAGTTAGTTTTGGAAAAGTATACAAAGAGGCCCTTTAATTATTTTTCGGATTGTATACAATGAGACTATTTATCTCCGGTATTTAGGTCACAATTACTTACAACCATCCAATGTGAAATGCGTGTTTTGAAAAAATTTCTTTTGAACTTAAATGCAGCCATCGAATTTTACTTCCAATAGTCAAGATTAATTATGAACATCTTGTATTAAAGGTCAATTATCTCATTATATTTTTTTTTTTTGCTTTTAGGACAAGACTATCATGATTACTCTTGTCTAGAATTAAGTGGTTGTGAACAATTAAGTGTGTAATTGACTAAGATCAAAGGTTTCCAAAAAAAAAAAAAATTCTTGAAATTCGTAACACACCCTAGGCCATCTTATTTGACATTTAATGGCTCTAAGTAATTCTGACCTCTTTATAAGGTCTTATAATATATAATTCCATTAGATTTTCTTTTGAATAAAGAAAAGCATTTAGTGGGGTTGCGGCTAGGAAATTGTAGTTTTGCTATTGAAAAACTTCCAAATTAACCATATCGACCTTAATAATTATAAATTTGAAAAAAAAAGGATTTCTAGTTCTAAAACATTCTTGTAGAAATAGAGGGTCAGTATCAAAACCTAAAGAGCAAGATGTATCGTTGTGTATCAAAAAACCTAAAGAGCAAGATGTATCGTTGTGTATCAAAACATTCTTGTAGAAATAGAAGTGTATTGTCAGTATCATAATTCTATTATGATCAAAGAGTTGGGGAAGACAATACCATGATCTCAGAGTTGGCGAGCATTATGCACGAAGGACAAAGTCATGAAGCGTAACACATTTTTTGTCACAAAGTGTGACACATTTTTTGAACCGTCCATTTCAATTGTTGACAGATAAGCCATATTTGTGCCATATTTGAAGCTACAAATTTTATAGCTTAATGAGGAAATAGATTTAGGTCATCGCAAGGATTTTGGAGCTGAAACTAGCACTTTTTGGTGGAGTTTTGAGGTACAGATTATCCAAAGTTTAAAAAATAAATCGGTGACCCGGATCGTCCACCTTAAAAATCCATCCGGATTGGCAGTTCGGATCAGCATCAGCCAAATTTGCTCTTACTAGCCTTAAAAAAATTTCAAAATTCTCTAAAATTTCCTAAAAAATCTTGTTTTCTAGGTTTCTAAAAAAAAAGGTACAGAACTATGGATTTTTCAGTTTTTTGACATCAAATGTCCACTTCTATCAAAATCATAGATCATGTACAAATCTGACAACACAGTCCTGTATTTGGTTGTTTAGAGAGTAAAAGAAACCCATGGGTTTATTGTAGCACTCAAGGTGAAGACATTCGGGAGAATGTTTATATGATAACAAACACCCCACATTTGTTGAAGGAAAAAGTTTATATAAGGATGCTACCTTATAATGTGGAGCTACGGATGTCCCTCAAAAATCCAACCAACAAGGTAGTTTTAATGCTGAAAAACTCTTTGATTGCTCATCTCGACATCGAGATGTATTACTATGAAAAATAAAAAGATTTTAAGAATAAAAAGATTTTAAGTAGCAGAAATAGTGCATTTTACAACATATTAATCATCTCGACATCGAGATGTATTACTATGAAAAATAAAAAGATTTTAAGTAGCAGAAATAGTGCATTTTACAACATATATTATCTACACCATCCATTTTCAAGATTTTCATATGTTTATATATCTATTTGATTTTAACCATTTTAAAATTTAAAATTTTATAATTAGATATAAAAATTGATTTTGAGATAATTCTAAAAACATTTTAGATCAAAATTATATACCATGATAAAATTAAAAGTGCACCTTATGGCCCTCAAATATTGGCACTTTGTGAGAATCAGCTCTCTGATATCTGATGCCCCTCTTTCATCTTGCAAGGAACCTCCAATCAGAATTTCAGCATTGCAAGTTTCCTTAACTGATCTAATAGATGCTCCTCCTCTACCAATAATGCACCCCATTTTGCCTGGAGGAACATTAAGAACTGATAAAAATTCCTCTTCAGGAACATTCCCTTCTCTGATGCACCCCATTACCATTGATGCAGAAAAATCGACAATATAATGCAGCAAGGCGCCATAGTGAATATTCATTTAATTTTTCCATCATGTTAGGATAGATGCAAAGCAGAAATAGAACATCATCTGGTGCAGTGCGAATCGTCAATTCCGATATAACTTCTTCCTTCTCAACATACGATATGCCACAGTAACGTGGATCAGCAAGGAGGCTAACAAAAGATATGTAGTCATCTCTTGCTCCTCTATCAAGGTATAGGCAATCTGAGTGCCAACAACATTCCAAATTGAAAATAAAGAGCCTCGCTTTATTATCTCTTTTCCAATCGTGAACAACTTTTGTGACTCTAGTGCAGCCTTGCAAAAGCATCTGCCCACCGCGAATAGCATCTACGAGATAAACAGCATGCTGAAATGCTAGCTGCATCATACAAAGATCAACACCTTCACAATCAAATCCAATAACCAATTGGCTTATGCTGCTTGAAAGAACAACGAAATGAGAGTCTACTATGAAATAAGATGAAAAATTAGGAGCCTATACGAATTTTTCTCATATTTCTATTTATATTTTCAATAGAGAAAGGTTTATATACTTCCCCTATACAGTATAGAAGATCTATGCTTCTCCTACCATCCATCCAGCCACTCACCATTTGATCTTAGATCCGATGTCTTAAAGTATTTTATTTTTAGTTTTTTTTAATACAAATTGTATGAATATGAAATTTGGTACGTGTCTTCTTCTCATTGAGGCATACCTATAAAAAAAATATTAAAAATAATTTTTCGATAAAATATAATGACCAAAATACCCTTTGAACTTTCAGGGGTATTTTGGTCATTTTATTTTATCGAAAACATTGTTTTTATATTTTTTTTGCTAGTGCGAGTTTAATAGAGGATTGGACCTACAAAATTTGGTGTCAAAATAGTTTATAGAAAAAAAAAATTAAAAATAAAGTCGTGTAGAGACGTGAAATTGTGATTGGGGCAATCTTAACCCTCCATTCAAAATGGACGGTCGGATAAGGAGAAATAGGAAAAGCATAAAAAGCTTGCCCTTTTCAATAATTTTTTGTTTATCTAGATATATACTATTTGATCTTTCTAGAGTTGTTATATTTATTTCCTTCCATATTTAATTTATCTCTTATTATTTACTTGAAAATATCGAACACACCTGCCGTCCGTTGATTTAACTTATAGATTTTCTTGCATAAGTTAGGCCACAATCACGTTAAAATTTTTTTTGAAAGAGTTGGGAGGTGCACTCTCTCATCCCCACATTCTCCCTCTAATGACGCCACTCTCTCACTTTTCATTGTTACAAATTTTCTCATATACTCGTATGTTCCCTCTAAGTGGTCTCCTCGTACCATATATTCATATACACTCTTCCCTTGCTCCTAAGCAAATCATTTGTATATAGATTCTCTCTCTCTAAACTTTTATATACCCATATCGCCTCTCTAAAAGGTCATGCGATCTCTCTCTTATACCAAATCTAAGTAATCTTCTCTCGTCGTCAGGTCTCACTCTACTCCTCTCTTGCCTAATGGAGAGAAAATGAGAAGAGAGGACAGTAGTGGTTATAAAAATATTTTGAAATCAACAAATTTCTTGTTTTCTTTTTGTATCTAGGTGCATAACTATGCAAGTTTTCCCTCTAAATGTTCAAATCTCTTTGAACTTTTTATTTATAATTACTTCCAATCAAGCACATAAAAGTAGATATACTTTTGTTTATGTACCCGGTTACCATACAGTCAAGCCCGCATATGTAGAAATGCGAACATCTTAATAAATCTATTTTTGAAATGGATTTTAAGACTTAATATTTGAGGACATGTAATTTCTAACATGGAGATCATGAATATGAAAAAATAAATACATTTTAAAAAATTTAAAAAATAATTCTAGTAAAAAAATATTTGGACTGTTAATTTCCATTGTTTTTAGATGGAACACCTACTTGTATCCATCTGAAAGATAGATGCTTTACACTCTTTGGACCGCATATATAGAAATGCGATCCAACAGACATGAAACAACTTTCCTTTGATTATAGGATGATTATTTTTTGTCATTTTAAATAGGGCCCACAAAAGAATATATATATATATATATACTAGCTATAATGAATAGTATAAACTCCTAGCTTCCCGTTGTCAAATCTTCATTGAGTAGTCCAAAATTCATATCACTATCTGAATTTTAATATATTTTTTTAAAATCAGATCATAATGTGTGTGTGTGAGAGAGAGAGTTGCTCATATCCCACAAAAGTTTAAGTTTTAAACTTTAAGATATTTATCTTTCATTGAAGCATTGGTGAGGTTGAAGAAAAATTGGGCACCAATGAATAATATAATATGAGAAGAAGGCATGTATACTCCGTTCCACCGAGTCGGTGTGGAGCCATCCATATGAAAATGTAGTACTTAAAGTAAATAATAAAAATAAAAACATAAAAATTAAACAAGAAATGTGGGGCCTCTAGTAAATAAAGAATAATAAATATACATATAAAAAAAAGGAAAATGGTTTGATAGGACTAACTACAACCCTATCAAAATAAATAAAACCTCACCTCATAACTCATCAAAAGTTGCAATTCAAGCATTGAAAAACTTTTACATCGATCATCTCGACTTGAACATTATGGTTGTGAAAAAAAAAAAAGATTTCAAGCTCTAAAAAAAATGTATATTGTAACAAATTATTTAGATGATATATTTCACCCTTAAAGTAAGTATTCAGAGATCCGCAATATTTGTACCATTTTTTGGTTTTTAAATTTTATTTTCAGTATTGGAAATTTATTTTAAAACTATCATGGAGATTTCTGTTGCCGAAAGTGTTTTTCAGACGGGGATTTTGGTGAGGCTTTATTTTGTTGTTTTTTAAAGCCTAGGCCTTATGTAAACTTCATCCAATAAAAAATTATATGGAATTGGCCAGTTCCAAAGCAAGAAAACAACCAGTTCTCGATATTTAGTGGGAATCAGACTGGTTCTCCCGAAGATTGATCTGGATCTGCATTTTAAAACCCCAATTTTATCAAATATCATTAAGAAACCGCCCCCTTTAAATAATTTCTTTCTACCTTCCCACCATTATAATTTAATCGCTGCTCGTATCCAATATTGTGATTCTCGTTTGTATTGCTTCTTGTCATTCATTAACTAGAATACGGAAATAATGTTTCAAAAAATATTATGAGACGCATTTGTCATTCCATTGCAAAATCATTAAAATGATCAATGGGTCTCAATTAATATTAGATAGTTTACTTCATGGCGTCATTCCTTTAAATGCCATCTAAGAGGTCTGGACCACTTACAAAATCATTAAAATGGCCAATGGGTCTTAATTAATATTAGATGGTTTACTGCATAGTTATCAAGACTGGATTTGACAGATAGTCTCCAACCTGTTCATGTTTTGATTGGTTTGGTCTAAAGTAAAAATCAATTTAGTAAAAAACAGATTAAAATTATTCTTGTACAAGTTTTAGCCGATACGACCAACCGGTTTAGACCAACTCAATTTTGGCCAAAACAAAGTGGGCCAATTTTATTTTGACACATCACATTTTAAAAACTATTATTCATTTTTTTAATATTTTAAATCTAATTTTCAATTGGTGGTTAGACAAATTTTGATTTGACTAGATCCCTCACTGACTCAATGGCAAATCCAATCTTGATAACATTGGTTTACCTTTAAATTTCATTTTATTTTACCTCCTCAAATTAAAACTTTAAAGTTACCTAAATTGCTCTTGTTCAAAAGGTCGGAACCAGAATAAACAAGAAAGTTTAGCACTTAGACCCATTCTAAACAAGTAGCGGTACTCTCACTATTTGGTTCGAGCTTCTTAGATAGGCAAATTACTGAAATGGCCATATTCATTTAGGAGTTTCAATCCAAACCAGGGGCAATTGAGTATTTTTTTAATGATGATTAAGATGTTTGATTCCCTTCATGATTTTGTAAAGGGTTTTAACATCTTGAAGTATTAAATTTAATATTTGTACTGGAAAATGAGAAGAAGTTTGAATAAAATAAAAGCTTAAATAACCGGGAAAACGGATAACAAAAAGTGGTTGGACCATTTTAACCATTAGAAGAAGTTTATACATGGCCTAGGTTTTACAATAAAGTAAGCAGCATTTCAAAACTTAGCTAGAAAATGCATTTCTTGACACCTGAAAATTATCAAATTCATCATTGCCCCCCTTGCGCTCGCAAAAAAAAAAAAGAAAAAGGATTTCATGCTTCGTCAATTTTTTAAGTATTTATAAATCAATTTATACTATTTTTGGAGGAAAAATAGATGTTCAAGTTATCAAGTGCACATTTTTTATCTAATTTATTTCAATAAATCTATTTGATAGAGATAGATTTCCTCAAACCTCTAATACTATACAAAAAAATTCCCAAGAAATGCTAATAATTTTTGTAGCAGCGTTTTGGAACTCATTTCGAAACAGATGGTAGTGCGTCCACATGCTGTGGACGCTGAAAAGGTCCACAAGCACATTTCAATGGTTTGGATTGAACCAGCCTCATCTAACGACCAAAATAAATATAGTTTTTTTATTTAAAAATGATATTAAGTTGAATTTTTTTATAAGAAGCATTGAATAAAAATAATTCAGAAATATTTTGAATAAAAAATAATGATCAAAATAGTTTGGAGGTATTTTGGTTTTTTTTAAATATTTTTTAATTGTTTTTATTTTGAGTAATGATACTATGAGACCTTCCCACACCCATGTGAGTAGGACTTTAAAGGATCACCATTAAATTTTAACACATATCTCTAGAAAAATTATTACATGAATGTGGGATTTGAGTGAATAGGTTTATTGATAACTTTTTTTAGAGATCTATGTAAAAATTTAATGGTGATCGTTTGAGGTCCTACTCACATGGCTGTGGGAGGGTTTAATTATATTTATAAAAATAAACCCTTACCCTAAAATTTAAATAAATATTTTATTTAAATAAAAATAAAAAATAAAATATGAGTAACTTTTTACCATTAAATTGGGCCTTGTCAAATGTCAACCATTCCAAGGGTGCTTGTGTGCCCTTCCACCCATGCATATGATATTTTTCCTTTTCGTGCACATGATACTTTTCCCTTTCGAAAAGGACTCGGGTTCTATGCACCAAAGTCTGTTATGTAAAAATGTGGGCCTCTTAATAAATCTATTTTTTTTAGATGGATTTTAAGAATTAATTTCTAAAGACATGTAATCTCTAACATGGAGATCACGAATATGAATAAATAAATAAATTTTAAAAATTATAAATAATAATTCGAATAAGAAAACATTTGGACCGTTAGTTTCCATTGCTTTTAGATGGAACACCTACTTGCATGCATCTTTAAAATGGATGCTTTACGCTTTCTGGACCGCACATGTAGAAATGTGTCAAGCCCGCATGAAACAACTTTCCTTTCGAAAATCGTATTAAACTACTTTCCCATTCCGAAACACTTAAAAAGCAACTGGTTTCTCAAAAGTCTTTGTTTGGAGGAAGTGTTCGACAAACAAACATGCCCTTAAGTCATCTCCCTAGTGCCCAAGCTTTACTTGAGCAGGCATGTTACTTCTTTTTTTTGGGGTAATTCAGTGGGGATGATGAGCCCTTACCTCTTTTTATGAAATCATTCGTGGTTTTTAAATACCTTAGGTAAGAATGAAAGCCTAGATCTTTGTTGAGGCAGAAGTGATGCTACCACCACGACCTCAACTCCATTCTCAAAAGTTGTAAGTTGTAAGTCAATGGGGATTTGAGCCCCTACCCTTTGATGAGAATAGAATGATCATGGGGCTCGATAATACTACTACTAAGGCCCAAGTCATTCTCAACAATGAGGAGAATAAAATTACACCCACTTTTAAGGTTCACTAGGCAATCAGGAGAAAGAATGTGTAGTCATAAATAAATTTAGAAAATTGAATAAAAAGTTACACAAGACATCAATTTATCCTGTAAAAGTAAGACGTACCTCAAAAAACTGCTGGAGAAAGTTCTTCTTATGCCAAAACAAGAACCATGAAAACCTTTAGTCGATCATCTCAACCTCAAGATATAGAAATGAATAAACGGACCTTGATGAATGGATATTAAAAAATAATTTTAATATCCTAAAAATAATATATCTTATAACAAGTTATTTAGACGGTCCATTATAAAATTTTCAAAAAATGATATATATCGGATATCGTTTTTCCAAAATCGAATGGTCCGGAGAGCTGTAATTCCAAAATCAAAAGGTCCGTAGAACTGTAACGGTCCGGCCTACGCAAAGTCCCGAGTGAGGAGAGCTCGAGAACGGTCTTAACCTTTCGATCTCTTACCATCAACCAAACCACGCCGCAAAGCATCAGAAGCTGTAAATTTGTAAGGCCATCAAAACCACAAATTTCAAACAAGAAGGTGGTACTTTCCCTTTGATCACAGGCATCCAACTCCTAGGCATCAACAGTACTTGGTCTAATTCACCCGTATGGAAAGCAACATTATCATTCTTCAAAAGATGAACCCACCTGCCGATCCATGGCCATTGATTGCAGCAATAGTGGGTAACCCTAGTTTCATCATTTTACATCGAGGCCACTAGAGAAGTACTTGCCTTCATTTGTGCTGAAACGAGCTTTAGGACCAGGAGCCGCGTGAGCAAAGTTCAAAGCTTTTGTTATGTCGATTGAATGTTCGCCGTGGCCAGTTAGAGTTAGTACAAAGACATTGCCCCCTCTTCATGAGCCAGCAAGTGAAAGAAAGTCCCATGTGATCTTTTATCGGGGAATACATCCATCTTTTTTTTTTTTGGCAAAACATCACTTGCATGTGGTCTTTATTATAATAAGATAAATTTCAAAATAAAATCAACATAGCAATAAAACAAAGATCTTAACAACTTGATGTCATTTAAACAACTATACACTATGCTTAAGAATAAAAGATAAGATTGCAAGAAACAAAAGGAATAGTGTCAGAGATTACCTCAATCGAGCTTATTACGCCCCACACTGAATAAAAGATAAAATTGTAAGAAACAAAATGAATAGTATCGGAGATTACCTCAATCGGGCTTATTACACCCCACACTGAGTCACCATCATCCGATGGCGCGGGATCAACGGTCTAACTTCAATCTTGAACCGGGAAAGCAAATTTCGGCCAAGCCATACCAATAGAACATGAACCCCTTTGATCACAAACTCAAACTATCAAACCTTTGGTGAATTCTCTTAGCAACCTAGTTTGAGATAGATGAATTCTTTTTTTCTAAACCCTAAAACCCTTACCATAAATCCATATTTGAGAGATAGGAGAGAGAAAAACTTCATAACATAAACCCTTAGGTTCTTTCATAATGTAGGAGAGAGAGATCAAACATAACCTAAACCCTTAAGTTCTTTCATAATGTAGGAGAGAGAGATCAAACATAACCTAAACCCTTAGGTTCTTTCATAATGTAGGAGAGAGAGATCAAACATAGAGATAAACTTTCTTAAGAGAGATATAGAAAGATAGGTGTAAAGATTTTGGGTAGAGACAATCCCTTTTTTATAGACTTGAACAAGATTAGAGTTTCTTAGAGTTTTCATCGGCTTGCATATTCTTGTGAGAATGAACATAGACCATCGATCAAGAGTGACTTGTGGGATGAGAGATCTGAGCCATCCATTCCATAAATGGGCCATCAACATTATGAAAGGTGCATGAACTATTATCCCCTTTTTCTTAACCATTTTTTCATCAATAGAAATTAAATAAATTAAATCTAATTAAAATATTATGCATTCCATAATCTTTCACAAAATATTCCAAAGATATATCAAGTCAATATACACTTTCAATATTTTGTCAAAATATCTCATATCTTATTTGACCTCATGCCATAACATAATATTACCAAAATATAAAATAACTTAAACTCCAATAAAGAATCCAATGGGTGAGGCGTGCCACCCATGTGTGGCACATGTGAGCCCCACCCACTTGACACATGGTGGGCTCATGTACACTATGGGCCCCTCCATGATATTTCATATAATTTTAAATTATCAAAAAAAAATTCTAAAACATTATTTGAAGTATATAATTTTGTAAAATCAATATCTTCATTTTTATAAGTCCAAAAAAATTATAAATAAAATATTAAATGACTCATAAAAATTTAAATAATAATTCTAAAATAATTTATATTATAAAACAAATATAATTAAATTAACTTGATAGGAAATGGATCCATATAGTTAAAGAATTTAATCAGCAATCATGGGGCACTTCACCTTCAACTGTGGACTACAGACCACATTTGCCTTATCGAACCGACCCAGTATTTCCCATGACCCACAGTCCAAGCAGGGGCTCATTAGCGGGTCACCAAAATCTGACAGATGAGCCAAAGGGTCACAATCTCAGTTTGTGGACTACAGGTCCTCCCTTAGAGACAAGTCAAGGTTACCAAGACCTTATGCGACCACAGCTCTATGGCGCACAGGGGTATCTCTCGCGCATGCATACGATTTACCTTAAAAGGTGGATTTCTGGCTTTTTCGAACGATCTATCGATATGCATGCCGTGTGATGGTACAAGGATGAGGTTTTGGCCCCTGTCTCTATAAGCCACCATCACACAAAACGGTCACACAGTCCCTCGGCTCACTCATCCGGGCATTTTCTCCGACCTCATCAAGGGCTAGCCCATAAACCCTCATCAATTGTTCTTCATGCCCATGTAGCATGGGTTTTTCCCAACCCACTGACCTAAATCGTTAAGCACATATCGATATCAGCAAACCATCATTTGCTTAGTATGGTCCACGAGATACCATATTTCCATTGAGTTCATGTTCCATTATATTATTTCATTTTACAAGCACTCATAAAGCCTTTAAAGGCCACATAAACCCAATAGCAGACCTTTAGTTGCAAGAGAGTTACTGATTGATCCATGGAGATTGATAGTTGTTTTCCTCGTCCTTTATATAAGAGAAATGGGTTTCTTTGTAATAGAATAATAGACTTTAGGGTTTATCCGGAGAAAATATATAAAGAATTTCCAAGGTTTCTCTGCAAATTTATAGAGTTTCTCTATAACTCAAAGGAAGAAGCCAACAAGAACAATCTTTCAGGATTATCTCAAGAGAAACCTGAGAGATTTAAGGTTTATGTAAATTTCGGTTTCTTGGTAAAATCAATGTAGAAATGAACTTCTAGGGTTTCTCGTCTCTCATACGGATCCACTCTTTCTATGAGAGAGAAGCAGGGGAATGGTTTCTCGTCTCTCATAAGGATCCACTCTTTCTACGAGAGGGGTTTAATACAAGAAATTCAGTTTGAGTATCATTTCAATTTTTGAAAAACTGGAAAACAAGCATTTTAAATTTTTTTAAAATTATTAAGGTGGAAAAAAAACGGGTACGGGTGTTAACAGAAACTTAAAAAGAAATTTTGTAATAACATTAAATATAATATATATATATATAAGTATTTCCAACGCTTATAGGCGAAAATAAATAGTGATTCGCCTACTCTCATCACTGTCGAAATTTCATCGCACGGTCACGAATGTCTAGTAGTGTTTTATTTTTAATTTTTTTCTTACAGATCGGAATGACCTGAAATTTGGATGGTATGTACATCTTACTGAGGCGCATATAATAAAAATATAAAAAAAATTATCCGTAATAAATTGACCAAAATACCCCTAAAACTTTTCGGGGTATTTTGGTCAATTTTTTTCATGTAAAATATTTTTTTTTTATAATTTTCGAAGATTTCCCTTTTTGATGAATACACGCTCCAAATTTCAGGTTATTCCTATTTGTAAAGAAAAATGAAAAATAAAACACTACTAGACAATCGTGACTGCGCGATGAACTTTGGACGGCGATGGGGTAGACGAAACTACTGTTCATTTTCGCTTATAGATGTTGCATTGTGTTTTCCTATATATATATAATTTATTATTATTATTTTATTATTATTATTATTATTATTATTATTATTATTATTATTATTATTATTCTACTTAATCTACACCAGTTTTCTAAAATTTCAAGTTAGGGGTAAGAGTTTGATGATGGAACTGCGTAGGATTTGGGGATCCACCTTAGTGTTTAGGGTTAATGCCTTATATAAACCACAACAAAATGATAATGAAATTTTATGAAAGGTGCTTAAGAAAAAAAACAAAAAACAATAAACATAATGATATGACTTAGTATAAAAGAAAAATGTAATAATAAAACCAAGGTTTGAAAATTCGCCAATTGGATCCTTGTCGTGTATTGGGAACCAATCGTGCCTTCT